CCCCTATGTATGTATATTATGTATTTCTAATTAGATATTATGTATATCTAATTTCATCTGTGATTAAAGCTGATGTTTTCATACAAACAAAACAGAAATAACAGAAATAATGTCTAATATAATCTTTTTGTTTGCAGCCTGTCCCAGCTGGTCAGGGAGAACCTGTAACTTTAACGGAGTCTGTGTCGATGGAGACGTTGGTAACGGCACCTGCGTCTGTAATGTTAGTTTCATTTTTTCTTTTTTCATATATAATAATAAAATGTGTTTGTTGATAAGTCAGTGGAATTTAATGTAAACCCTTATTGTAAACATTTGTCAAAACAAAATCTGTTTCTTTAGAGTATTTTTAAGTAAACGTCTTTTGTTTCTTCAGGAGGGTTTTTCGGGTTTCGCCTGCCATGAGTGTAAAAATCCAGACGTTTTTGGAAAGAACTGTGATAAAGGTAGGAGGATGTTGTAACATTTATTGTTGCAGGCAGATCCTGAGTTTAAACATGTTTTATATGTTGTTCACCATGTTTCACAAGTTATTCCAGCCCTGAAACAAATATGTTGTTTAGTTTTTCTTTATTCTTTACAAAATGAACATTATATTGTGCTTGAACAGAAAAACAGGTAACTTTATTTTTTAGAAAGGTTTCAGTCTGTACTCTAGAGTCTACGTTTATACAGTTTTATAATGTCCTGAATATCAGCTAAGAAATCTTGAGATATGAGTTTGGAGAAGACAGAATTTTCAAAAGAAGACCACCACATTGTGATCATATTTTACTTCCTGTATGTGCAGTGTGTGACTGTGTGAATGGAGTGTGTAACAAAGGTCCAGATGGTGATGGACAGTGTTTGTGTCAGCCACCGTACACCGGGAAGCGCTGCGACCAAGGTAAGCCCCCGGGTGTGTGAAGTGGACTGGATCTGGGGGGGTGTTTGTGTGTTTGGGGCTGACGGTGGTCCTGATGGTGTCGACAGTGAGCAGCAGGTGCAGCAGCTGCAGCTCCTACTCGTACTGCAGAGGAGACAGAGACAACGCCGAATGTGAATGTTTGCCTGGATACAGGAGGATGACTCAGAACAAATGTTCAAGTAAGAACTCAGTTTAAGCTTCAAGTTGAAAATTAAATCTAATACTTTTTAAATTTAAGGATACATTAACCATCAGTGTGAGAAAAACAGAGTTTTGTTTCATTCTGAGTTATTTTGACAGGTTTCTCTGACTCGTGAGTAAAGAGTCTGATCTGATCTGAGTTTGTTGTCTCCTCAGGGGTTTGCACGTCGACAGACTGTGACATCAACGCTCAGTGCTCCTTGAAGGGCTCAAAGATGGCGTGCGCCTGTAAGCCCGACTACGAGGGCGACGGACGGGTCTGCGTGCCCAAAAACCCCTGTTTACAGAACAACGGAGGGTGTCCCATCAACTCCACCGTCTGTGTCTTCAGAGGTCCCAACAAGGTGTGGAACTGCTGAGCTCAGTTTGTAGAAACACCTGACACACCTGTTCTCAGGTCATAGAAACACCTGACACACCTGTTCTCAGGTCATAGAAACACCTGACACACCTGACACACCTGTTCT